CCCAGTGTGTTCTTAACGTATCGGAGAATTCCAGTAGCGATAGTATAGAACACAACTCTTCAGCCTACGTACGTCGTTGATCAGACACGCACCGTAAAACAAACATATTCTGGAATGAACCCAGATCTGTCCGTTTACGACCTCTACACAAACCAGTGGAACAAAAATGGTAGTACAATGTACTAGGAATGTAACTCCAGGGTCCGATGGGATCGGTGTAGGTTCTGGGTAAACGGAAGGTACATGTAGTGGGGCTTTACATGGGGCACAAATAAATATGACTTTATACTTTTTGCACCACGATTGTGATGATATCTTTAATATTACAGTCCAAGATCGTACAAAGCGGAAGCCGGCCCTGGCAACGCATGCACAACAGCAAAGATTTGTGTCATCAATTAGCAAGAGAATAATTGAAATTAATTTGTAACCTTGGTAGAGGGATGCTTTTCTAAAAGAACTGACGTCCTGGGGCACACGTTACTGGGATTTGATGCCCGTGGGACAAAACTTCCCCAAGGTATTCGAGCCCTTCAGGAGTACTGTTCCTACTGCCTCCGTGGCAATGTGTTACAACCTTTTGGCAAATTCAAGCAATTTCAGACATAAATTCGTTACCAAAGGCCGTATGAGGCTGCTAGCAGATGCCCAGCATTCACTGACACATTTGGGACATATTTTTGGTTACCGATAGGAGCGACTGAAAATGAAAAATATCAGGATCCCAAAGAGAGGCTATGGGTTCCATCATGGTTGCCAGTTGGTCGCTATAATCTTACTAAAACAAGGCGGTCAGTTGGTACATTTTTGGTTACCGCATATTTTTCACATTGAAATATTTTCATAAGTAAATGTATAAACCCTACCATCTTATCCTCAATATCTCAGAAACCTCTTTGCAAGCCATTTGGGAAGCATTGCAGGCTAACACAACCTAAAACTTCAATCATTTAAAATCATTTTGGCTTCAAGAAAAATGCGTAAACTGTGCCTGAAACACTGATGCAATCGACCCCAAATTTTGTGTTTCCTCAAAGGTTGCAAGTTGATGATCATCTTTGTTTTGAATACGAAATCACTGTGCAGTCGCAGCACAGGACTGGTCATTTATACATCTCACACCGTTCTTGGAATTCCATGTCTCTTAAGAGACAAATTTACTGCCGCTGAGAAAAATACGTTGGCGGCCTTGCATGCATTGAGAGCTGGTGAACAAGAACACTAAGAGCCATGGTAGGACATACCGCTGTAACAGTCACGTTTATTGGGATAATTAGTTTGTTATTTCGAGTATTCCACGTTAACAAGTTTTCATGTGTAGTAGCGAGGAATTAAAACGCAACTCTCCAGATGAGCCTACATATGTCGTTGATCATACTCGCAGCAAATATCATAAAGTAGAAAGTCATCATTTGCATCATTTGCATCATTCTTACTGATGAGCCTGTGTGGAAGCTGCTGCCAGCCGACCGAAAATTACCGATACTTATGGCCCCGTGTTTATAATTATTGTGCGGACATTAATTATGTAGGACATGAGTTTCTGTGTATATGTGAAAGGAAACTATGTCCGACAGGAATACATGTCCTACCTGCGTATAAATAAAGCTGGGAATCTAGGTCCGGGTAGGACAGTACATCCTAGGGAACGCACGTCCATAGGACATGTTTTCCCAGGAACGGAGGTCCGGAGGACCTCCGTTCCTGGGGGACATGCATTCCTTTCACACCGGCATCCGTTTTGTACGAATTTGGACTGTAATGTTAAAGATATCATCACAAGCGTGGTGCAAAAAGTAGAAAGTCAAAAGTTTTTGTGTCCTACGAAAAGACCTCAATGCCTTCCGTGTTCCCCTAACCTTCACCGATCCCATCGGACCCTGAAGTTGCATTTCTTACACTACCATTTTTGTTCCATTGTTTTGTGTACAGGTCGTAAACGGACAGATCTGGGCTCATTCTAGAATATGTTTGTTTCTGCGAGTATGATCAACGACATATGTAGGCTCATCTGGAGAGTTGCGTTTTAATTCCTCGCTACTACACATGAAAACTTGTTAACGTGGAATACTCGAAATAACAAACTAATTATCCCAATAAACGTGACTGTTACAGCGGTATGTCCTACCATGGCTCTTAGTGTTCTTGTTCACCAGCTCTCAATGCATGCAAGGCCGCCAACGTATTTTTCTCAGCGGCAGTAAATTTGTCTCTTAAGAGACATGGAATTCCAAGAACGGTGTGAGATGTATAAATGACCAGTCCTGTGCTGCGACTGCACAGTGATTTCGTATTCAAAACAAAGATGATCATCAACTTGCAACCTTTGAGGAAACACAAAATTTGGGGTCGATTGCATCAGTGTTTCAGGCACAGTTTACGCATTTTTCTTGAAGCCAAAATGATTTTAAATGATTGAAGTTTTAGGTTGTGTTAGCCTGCAATGCTTCCCAAATGGCTTGCAAAGAGGTTTCTGAGATATTGAGGATAAGATGGTAGGGTTTATACATTTACTTATGAAAATATTTCAATGTGAAAAATATGCGGTAACCAAAAATGTACCAACTGACCGCCTTGTTTTAGTAAGATTATAGCGACCAACTGGCAACCATGATGGAACCCATAGCCTCTCTTTGGGATCCTGATATTTTTCATTTTCAGTCGCTCCTATCGGTAACCAAAAATATGTCCCAAATGTGTCAGTGAATGCTGGGCATCTGCTAGCAGCCTCATACGGCCTTTGGTAACGAATTTATGTCTGAAATTGCTTGAATTTGCCAAAAGGTTGTAACACATTGCCACGGAGGCAGTAGGAACAGTACTCCTGAAGGGCTCGAATACCTTGGGGAAGTTTTGTCCCACGGGCATCAAATCCCAGTAACGTGTGCCCCAGGACGTCAGTTCTTTTAGAAAAGCATCCCTCTACCAAGGTTACAAATTAATTTCAATTATTCTCTTGCTAATTGATGACACAAATCTTTGCTGTTGTGCATGCGTTGCCAGGGCCGGCTTCCGCTTTGTACGATCTTGGACTGTAATATTAAAGATATCATCACAATCGTGGTGCAAAAAGTATAAAGTCATATTTATTTGTGCCCCATGTAAAGCCCCACTACATGTACCTTCCGTTTACCCAGAACCTACACCGATCCCATCGGACCCTGGAGTTACATTCCTAGTACATTGTACTACCATTTTTGTTCCACTGGTTTGTGTAGAGGTCGTAAACGGACAGATCTGGGTTCATTCCAGAATATGTTTGTTTTACGGTGCGTGTCTGATCAACGACGTACGTAGGCTGAAGAGTTGTGTTCTATACTATCGCTACTGGAATTCTCCGATACGTTAAGAACACACTGGGTGATCAAGAAGATGGCAGTGATCTTCAACTCTTCAAAACTTGTTAATGTGGAGTACTCGAAATAACAAACTAATTATCCCAATAAACGTGACTGTTACAGTGGTGTGTCCTACCATGACTCTTTGTGTTCTTGTTCACCAGCTCTCAATGCATGCAAGACCGCCGACGTATTTTGTTAATTTCTTGCTCAGCGGCAGTAAATTTGTCTCTTCCATGAATTGTGTGAGAAGTTTGAATGACCAGTCCTGTGCTGCGACTGCACAGTGATTTCGTATTCAGAACCAAGATGATCATCAACTTGGAGCCTTTTAGGAAAGACAAAGTTTGGGGTCGTGTGCATCAGTCTTTCAGGCACAGTTAATGCATTTTTCTTGAAGCCAAAATGATTTTAAATGATTGAAGTTTTAGGTTGTTTTAGCCTGCAATGCTTCCTAATTGGTTTGCATCGAGGTTTCTGAGATATTTTGGATAAGATGCTGGGTATGATGGTAGTGTATAAATTGTACATTTACTTACGAAAATATTACAAGATGAAAATATGCGGTAACCAAAAATGTACCAACTGACTGCTTGTTTTAGTAAAGTTATAGCGACCAACTGTCAACCATGTCAACGACCTATGTAGGGTGATGAGATGCGTTCCAATTTATCGCTAAGCGAATTCTCTGTTTCGTTAAAAACACACTGGGTGATCAACAAGATGACAGTAATCTTCAACTCTTGAAAACTTGTTGACGTAGAGCACTCGAAATTAGAAACTAATCATCTCAATAAACTTGACTGTTACAGTGGTGTGTCCTACCATGACTCTTAGTGTTCTTGTTCATCAGCTCTCAATGCATGCAATGCCGCCGACGTATTTTGGTGATATCTTGCTGAGCGACAGTAACTAGTCTCTTCCAAGAACGGTGTGAGAGGTATAAATGGCCAGCAAGCTCTGATCTACGTCAGTTCTGTGCTGCGACTGCACAGTGATTTCATATTCAGAAACATTATGATCATCAGCCTCGCTTTATGCGCGCTAATATTTGTTCAGCCGGCGACTGTCATGCTTTTATTTGCCCAAGAAAATGGTCCATCTATTGGACTAACTCAAAAGTCGAGCAATATTGAAAATTGGGCGCTAGCGGGATTCACGACGTTGTCATCACATCTTGAAAATGGAATGCAAGAGATAACCACTAAAAAAGCGCAAGCCACTGAGGGAGGAATCCCCGACGAGACCACACAACAGCCGCTTACTACTCAGGGTGGATCGCACGTGGACGTCACACTAGTGTCGCCCACTTCTGAGGGCAAATCGTTCGTGGACGTTACACAATAGTCACCCACTACTGAGGGTGGAATGAACATGGACGTTACACAAGAGTCGCCCACTACTGAGGTAGGAATGCTCGTAGAAGTCCCACAAGAGTCGCTCACTACTGAGGGGGGAATGAACGATGCAGTCACCCAGGGGTCATCCAGTCAAGAGGATATATTCCAGGAAAGGTCGGATCACAGCAGTGGGAACTATTCTTTCCCAGACGTGACTCTAACGCCGTATAAATGGCTCTGTATAAGGATTGGGTCTCGTTTTTTTTAGCATTCAGACCCACTGCAACTGCGACCCTCTGTGCGACCTGTATGGTGACTGCTGTTATGGAGTGACTGAAAACACGACGACGTGTGCCGCCTCTGTCGCATTACCAATTACGGAAAACACCTCGCGTTTTGTAACATTCCCTGGAACCAACTTAACAGAAATTCAAAATAACATCACCACTTCGACTTCA